TCTGTTTACATTCAGAAATTCAAATATCATCAAATTATAAGGCTTTAAGTCCCTTGTCATGTTAAAAAAATGAAGCTAAGTGTCCTATGAAAGGAAAGAAGATTCTTCATTTATTACAAGACACACCATATCCTGGTTGACTGTGAATATATTATTAACTCTATAATGATTGAGTTATCTCTGTGTGTAAGTGTGACAGAAAGACTGAGCCATGATTCTTTACAATTTGGATACCCTTGAAGACCTCTTTGATTTGTAGCAGAAAGAACTTTGTAAAATAGAGTAGTAAATCACTGTTGCTCAGAAAGAGTGACATGCTCTGCCCCTCCTGCCCAAACTGTTTGCTGCTGTTGCTTTTTAACACCTCATAGCTATGCCAAATTATGCTTCCATGTGTCTTTATAGCATTTCGTTACGTTGGCTTACCTGAGGACATCGCTTAACCTTTTTGCTCTTATCTATCATATGCCCAACAGAATTGTTTTGCCTCCAATATAACTTCTGTTGATTAATTGCATGCTCTTATCCCACTGGGATTTTGGGAATCATAGAACTTTAGAGTTGGAAAGCACCTGAGATCTGACTTATATTTTAAAATAATAGGAGATAATTTGAAAACAACAACAAAAATGGAAAAGAAAAATAATTCAGGGATATAATTTCAGACAAGTTTAATATTTTAATATAATGAATTATCTTTTAAAAAAGATTTAATTAATGATCACTTTCCAGGGATTACGATGATTTATATCAGGTTGGCATACTGTGGCACACTACCTGTTTTGGTGAATAAAGGTTTTTTGGAACAAAGACATGTCTGTTTGTTTATATATTGTCTATGGCTGCGTTTGTGCTACAGTGGCAGAGTTCAGTAGTCGTGGCATAGAAACATATAGCCTGCAAAGCCTTAAATATTTATCTGGTCCTTCACAGAAAAAGTTTGCCAATCTGTGATTTAAACAGTTTAAAAACTTATTTCTCCAACTGGAAATCTCAAGAACTTTCCTAGCTAATACTAGTATGTAAAATGAAGGAGCATTTATTTCTGTAAGGATCTGTTGGCCGACCAAGAATATCACCACCTTGTGATTTTCATCCTTTTTCAACTTATTTCTTTTAAAAAATGGTGTCTACTAAAAAATACTCTGGAGATAGACCAATAGATAGGTAGATGGCAGTTCTTTACTGTAATTAGTTCATTTGCCTTTTATTGTGAGTAGCTTTTAAACTTAGGGGGAGTGATCTTACAGTTACTCAAACAAGAGAGAGCTTGTTTAAGTCACTATTTCCGTGTTACTTTTGCAACTTGATGTGTTTCTTCACTGGTATTTTCATGTGAAGATTACCTTTGCATTTGTCTTGCAGTGTTAAGTTTCCTGATTTACTAAGTTGTAATGGATACACTCACTACCTGCTATCATTTTCTCCAGTGTCAGCCTGCTTAATTTCTGTTGGTTTATATCTACCCATAATAAAAGGTATTTAAGGCAGAAGTTAATTTTAAAATACTAAGTTGCATATTTAGAGGGTTGAGTGGTTACTTGAAAGCTGTACTTTCATTTGTCATCTTTCACTCATAGGTGAGCTTGAGCCTTCTACTCAGATTTCACCAGTTTAAATTTGAAGTTACTGAAGTTCTCTCCATGTTAGATTCTTTCCTCAAAGAATAAGCAATTTTCTTTTTGTTGTAAAACTGTGGTTTTAGTACATTGACACTAATCAGTATGAATACTACCTATAACCTTGAAATTGTTATTAAAACAGAAAGTGTTGGAACAGTGGTGATGAAATAATTCTTAGTCTCACATCTGTACTACCCCTACCACGTAGTTATTAGTTTCTGAGGTACTATGTAGTCTTTTTTTTTTTTCCAGAGGTGTTTGTGGCAAACTCTGAGTTGGCCTGCATCCACTCGGATGACGTGTACTTTTTGCTTCTTTCACAGGAGCACCCATACCCTGGCCCCTTTCTTTTTCTCTACCTGATAAAACTTGCTGTATTATAAAAAAAATAAGAGGTGTTTGTGTCACCAAGATGTACGTAAATTCTACATTTTATACATACTTGGTTATTTTTATTTCATTTTTTGTCCTTTGGTTAGCTAACTTGTTCTTATCTCCTTGGGGATTAGCTTAAGTAGATAGTTTTAAGGCAAACAAAAGCAAAAACTTTCATATCTCTATGACTTTTATCATTTTCTAAAAGTTTCTTAGGAATCCTAGTTTATATTATTAGAATGAAAGACTAAAGTTCACAAATAATACAGAAGAATTGCTACTATAGAATCTGGGAGGGGAAGTCTGGAATTAATTTCAGCTCTCTGTGTCTTTGAGCCTTAATATATCAGTACCTGGTGAAAGTGGCAAACCAGAGTGATATCCAAGTACCGGCACCCTGTGTATGGACAAATACAAAAAGGATTTATATTATCTATTTTCTTCCCTTCTTTAGAGATAGGTTAGTACATCACCATTGTAAAGACATACCTCAGCCCTGGCCAGTGTGGCTCAGTTGGTTGGAGCATCGTCCCGTACACCAGAAGGTGGCGGGTTCGATTCCTGGTCAGGCACGTACCCAGGTTGTGAGTTCGTTCCCTGGTCAGAGCGCATGTAGGAAACAACCAATCAATGTTTCTCTCTCACATCGATGTTGCTCTTTCTCTCTGCCTTACTCCCTCTCTCTTTGTGTTTGTATCTCTCTCCTTTCCTCTCTCTGAAAAAAAAGCATACTCAAAAAGTAGAGATATTTCCATAACAGCATAAGTAGGCCAAGAAAAGATTATAATTCCCTGTATATGGCAAGGAGAATAAATGGGGAACAGTCCCATTTCAAAATGGCCTTTTATTTTTCCCACTTTCAGCTTCCCAACCTTGGAGTATTTCTATCTGTTGGCTCAGATATTGAACACTGCTGGCTGCAATTTCTTAGTAAGCAGATTAATAAAACTTTAAATTTTTTATACAGGATTTTCAGTGCCATTTGGCAGTCTTCTGTGTCACTGATTAGCTCTTTCCTATTCCCTACAGCAGATATTTAGCACATTTATTCCTTCAACAAATATTTCTTAAACCTCTACTCTGTACCAGGCATTGTCCTAAGCTCCAAGGATATAGCATTGATGGAAACAACCCTGCCCTCATGGAGCTTACCTTCCAGCAAAATACTGAATGCTGTATAAGCGTTGATTAAATATGGGCAGTTAGCATTGTTGGTGGGATGGCTATTTTCCCAGTTTGCCTGGAACAGCCCCAATATAACACCTGTTTCACTTTCAGAGGGGTCCCAATTTGGACAGAAAATTATATGACCCACTCTAGTTCTAAACCTTTTCTATATGTTAATTCATTTAATCCTCCTATCAGTCTCTTTCCAACCACTCTACACTGCTGCCAAAGTGATGTTTTAAAAATGTAAATCTGTTTAATCGTGTTTAAATTCCTCTGGTAGCTCCTAATTGATCACAGAACTAAGGTGGAATTCTTTAGCAGGCCTGCAAGGCCCTCGTGGCTAGGCCTTTCCTACTCTTTATCTCCCATTGTGCCTTGCTCACCCGTCATACTTTCAAGCCAATATTTATAGAGCCCAGACTTGCCATGTCCTGTATTGCTGTTTTTTCTGCCTGGTATGTCCACTACTTCTCTCAGGTCTCCCTAGCCCCATCTGGGACATCTAGAGAAATTTAGTACCCAGCTCTGTCGTCTTTGAATAACCTTCTTCAGTTCCATACATAGGTTTGACCGTGCATGCCTCGCCTCCATTCTGACATCATCATACGTTGTTCTCAGCTCTGTAGCGCTTATCACTCTGTATTATTTATTTTTCATCTGAGTATCACCTTTCAGTGGGCTGTGAACTCAGGTATTTCCACTGTCTGACATATAATAGGCTCTCATCAGATGTGTGGTGGTGATGGAGGTGATGAGTCCTAGTGGATCGCACAGTTCATTTAAATAAGGCCATGCCTTCCATGCTGAGGAGCATTGGGCTTGGACACACACAGAGGAGAATGTAGAATTTCCTTACCTTCCTTTGTCCCTTAAAGAAGCTGCTGCTCCAACCTTTAGTACTTGGTCCCTTTTCCCTTTTGATGTATACTTTTTATGATGTTTTGATACCTGTTCTCAGCCTTCACTTTGCTTCTGTTTTATTTTGTATCCTTGGAGCAGTTAGAAAGAAAGGAAGCTGTTAATTGCTATTGCAAACTCCCACTTTCCCATTTTCATTCCATCACAGGAGAAATCATGTATCAGCTTGTTTCCATATGATTCTTCTGTGCAAAAGAAGTCTTTTCTCAGCAGTAAAAAGAATTCATGTTATAATAACAATATTTTTCGACAGTTTTTTAATTCTCCTATGTCCCCAAAATGTCTCCATGCATTTAATGTCAAATTAAAAACTAAACTATTTCTGTGTTAATCTTGGAAGAAGAAATAATGGTTTTTAAAGACTGTTAAAGGAATAAAGAAGAATTCTTGTGTTTTTAACATGAAAACTTCAGAAGACCAAGGGTTCTGCTTTATACATTGGGGTCAAAGGATTGTAGAACAGTCAGCATCTCAATTTAGGCTCATGTATTACTTTCTGCTCTAAATACACTCATAGAAGCTACTTGTGGTGTAACTCCTTATGTATTTAAATTTATCTGACTCTTGGTTGTCTTGGTTTATTTTTTAAATGGATGAAGAATCTACTTATGAATTCTTTGCTCTTTATGGAATGTGGTATCTTGGTTTTAATTCCATATGTCCCTTCCCCTTTACTTACTTTTATCATATTGTTTTGCATTGTGTTTCTTAAATAATGGCTTTGGCTTGTCTTTTTCCTGAATGTTTCTGCAGTTTGGTTTGAGTATCTGGCTTTGGGCACCCCTCCTGGACTCCATTTGTACTTGTGATTTTTGGAAGGCAGACGTCAGTGTTTTCTATGGAAGATTACCTTTTTTTTTTTAATATTATATATGTGTGTCTCTCCCCTTCTTCCTTTTTGGTTTCTCTTGAAAGACTGGAAAGAAAGCTGTTAAGGCAGTCCTGTGGGTTTCAGCAGATGGACTCAGAGTCGTGGATGAAAAAACTAAGGTAAAACTTTTATAAGCCTAAATGTAACTGCTCATACGTTTTTTTAATCCCTAATGATCAAGTATAATGCCATTAAGCAGTTGTAGTCACTCTGTATCCTTCTCTTTGTCCAAAGTACAATTTTCTGAGACTAGTTAATGTTTAGGAAACCAATTAGTTACTCATTTACCTTATAAAAAATAGAATTCTCTCCACATTTTGCTCTATATGACACAGCATGTTTAGCCTACCAAGCATTTTCACTTAACGTTAAGATCTGAGCTCTATTTTTGTTGTTACACATTTTTAAAAAATGTTTACCCCCACAAATCTGATGTAAAAGATGATGGACCTTTTGCCACAGTTAAAAAAATTTTTTTTAAAGATGATGGACCACATTCAAAATTTATTCTTGTTCCTTAATAAAACTATATTTTTAGAAAGTGATATTTGAACTGATTGCTATTTAACTGAAAACCCAACTTAAGTGAAATCTTAAGGACTAGTAAATGGCTCATTTGGTTAACATTTACTTAGAATGCACACAATATATCAAATCATAAGTAGCATTTTGCATTTGAAAGAAAGTGATCCTCCATGCCTAAATTAGAATAGAGACATGGACTCTTCCCTTAGCATATGGTGTTATGTAAGTACATTAATCATTAATTTAAATTTCCTAAGAGACCTAAAGTCTGGAGAAATTTTAGCAAGAAGTCAGTTTTTCAGAAAAACTGAAGTGTCGCTGGACCTGAGAGAAAGTCTGGCCGGTAAAGAGCAGTTTGATGGGTAACTTGCCTGGTACTTTTTTTTTTTTTTAAATATCTTTATTGATTTCAGAGAGAGGAAAGGAGGGGGGAGAGAGAGATAGAAACATCAATGATGTGAGAGTTATTGATCGGCTGCAGCCCGCAACCCGGGCATGTGCCCTGACTGGGAATCAAACCCTGATCGCCTGGATCCTAGGTCGATGCTCAACCGCTGAGCCACGCCCGGCCGGGCTGCCTGGTACATTTTTAAAAATATCTATGTCTTTATTGATTTCAGAGAGAGGAAGGGAAAGGGAGAGAGAGATAAGAACATCAAGGATGAGAGAGTCATTGATTGGTTGCCTCCTGCATGCCCCCTACTGGGAATCGAACCCACAACCCAGGCATGTGCCCTGACCAGGAATTAAACCTCAATCTCCTAGATCATAGGTTGATGCTCAACCGCTGAGCCATGTCAGCCGAGCTGCCTGATACATTTTAAGTGATTTAATATAGCTGCATTTTAGTTATTTTGACCTTCCCTCTAAGGCTTTGTCTGTTTTTAAAGTTCAGGAGAAATGGTAGTGTTAAATGTACATGACTCTTGAAAACAATGATCATTTTATTTTTAAGAACTTGTATAGTTTTCATAAGTGTTTTTACATGCAATGTGTACATGGAGGCAATGTTTTTAATTGTTTTGTACAATAATCAGAAAGTAATGTTTCCCCCTGGTGGCAGTTTATAGTACTGACATTAATTCTTTCTACATGAGTGATAATAATTGGTGGATTGTCACTCTTGGGCCCATTATGAGTGGAAAAGAAAGTTTGCAATGTGTATAATCCATAAAGGGTACATATTTAGAATATGTAAATAATTCCTACATATCAATAAGAAAATGACAGCCCAAAATACAATCACTTTGCTAAAGAGGAAATTCATAGTAATCAAAGTGATGCAAAATAAAATCATAATGAGCTGCCAGAATTGCAAGATTTTATTTATTTTTAAATATTTTTTAAAAGTTAAAATTGATTTTGAGAGAGAGGAAGAGAAACATTGATTTGTTGTTCCACTTTTTTAATGCATTCATTGGTTGATTCTTGCATGTGCCCTGATCAGGGATCAAACCTGCAACCTTGATGTATTGGGATGATGCCCTAACCAACTGAACTACCTGGAAAGGGCCAGAATTGCAAAATTTTAAAAAATTGGCAAGTTTGTGGTTCAACAGGAATTCTCAGCGGTGTTGTATAAAAGCCATTTGGTTTGATTGTATGTTTTATTTCTTTAATCCTCACCCAAGCGTATTTTTTCCATTGCTTTTCAGAGAGTGGAAGGAAAAGAGAGGGGTGAGGGGGAGAGAGAGAGAAAGAGAGAGAGAAACATCATTGTGAGAGAGACACATTGATTGGTTGCCTCCTGCTCGACTACCAGCCAGGGCTGGGGATTTGGGCCTATAACTGAGTTATATTCCCTTTGGCCAGAATCAAACTCAGGACCCTTCAGTCCTCTGCCTGACACTCTAACCACTGAGCCAAACCAGCTAGGGCTGATTGTATGTTTTAGTACTTAACAGCCTCATCTCAGCACCTAGGGATTCTAGACTATGAGAATATCACACAGAAGAGCCTCAAGTTTTTTTAAAACATTAAGTACATAGAACTGTTCTGGGAATGATGTTATTAAATAAGTTATATGGAAATTGGATTAAATATATTGATTTACATATATTGCAAGTTGAACATGGAATCTACCGTGATAAAATTATAATCAGAAAGCATATGTTTTAGAGCATAAAGGTGAGATGAGGGAGGCATCTGGGCAGAGGGCCTCATGGGATCTCTCTTGGGTCAAATTATTAGTATTCACACTACTGGCCTCAGATCCAGCTATTTCATAGGCTCAGTGCACTAGATGTAGGGTTTCTGTATTATAAAATGAACATTTGCCCAGCCTACATGGCTCAGCGGTTGAGCATCAACCTGTGATCCAGGAGATCAAGATTTGATTCCCAGTCAGGGCACATGCCGGGGTTGCGGGCTCGATCCCCAGTTGGGGACATGCAGGAGGCAGCCGATCAATGACTCTCTCATCATTAATGCTTTTATCTCTCTCTCCCCCTCTCCCTTCCTCTCTCTGAAATCAATAAAGATGTATTTTTAAAAATGAACATTGTGTTTCTTCTGAGAAGCTTGAATAACCTCATAATTCTCTGTTCCTTTGTTCTTCCCTTTTTCAAGGACCTCATAGTTGACCAGACAATAGAAAAAGTTTCTTTCTGTGCCCCAGATAGGAACTTTGATAGAGCCTTCTCTTACATATGTCGTGATGGCACCACTCGGCGCTGGATCTGTCATTGCTTCATGGCTGTCAAGGACACGGTGAGTTCAACCTGGATTTCATCATGACCAGCCTGTTAGCTAAGTGTCTTCCTGGTTGGCTCAGTCAAGCAGTTTCCACTACATTTTTGACAAGTATGTGCTGTTACAGCCCTTGGAAGTGTCTAAAGTAGCCTGCCTTTTATTCGAGTAATCCACACTTTTGGTGTACCCCTGCAACTCATGGAGCATGATGATTAGCTGAGATTTAAGGTCATTAAAGGAAAGTAAAAGTATTCTAGTGAGAGTGGCTACTAAACTTTATTTGAAACTTTTCATTACTAGAATTGTTTTCAAGATTCTTACATGTATTTGTTTGCAAAGACACCTGGATAGAAGGTATTGGCATTCAAAAAGTGCTTGTAAATTTATTTGCAAAAAGACTCCACTACAAATGAAAGAACTGAGTTAGAGTATATTTTCAAATAATAAAAAATAGAAATACTAAATTATGGTATAATGAAGTATGCTAGAAATTATTGCACAGTAGAAATATGGGGTTTTGTTTAAAAATAGAGAATAATCTACTATAGTGTCCTTTATGTAAATTACCTAAAATTCTGATATGAAAGACAAGTCTCTTACATGATGATGAGGATCTTAACTATAGTTAAAGTACAGCATTGAGTGTATAATTTCTGGTTTTTGTTGTGTGTTTTTTTACATATCTTTATTTAATATATCTTTATTGATTCCAGAGCGAGGACAGGAGAGAGAGAGATAGAAACATCAATGATGAGAGAGTCATTGATTGAGCCCGCAACCCGGGCATGTACCCTGACGGGGAATCGAACCCCAATCGCCTGGATCCTAGATTGACGCTCAACCGCAGAGCCACACTCGGCTGGGCAATTTCTGAGTTTTTAAAAGTTCGGACAGAATGAGGCAGTATAGCCATTCACAAAGGCTACAACTTAATAAACTCTTGCCAAGGTTTAACCTGGAAGAGAAGTGGTGACCATACTCTAAAATTGACCAAAAGGTGTATTTAAGCTCTTGGAGACAGTGGTATAAACAATTATTAAGAGCTCAGGCTCTGAATCAGATCTGGGTTCCAGAGCTGATTCTGGTTCTCACTAGCTGTGGGATTTGTGGCAAATTACTTAACAATCTTTAAGTCTTAGTATCCACTTCTATAAGATGGAGATAACAGTTGCAACAATTAACTTAGAAAATGAATATAAGCACTCTTAGCATAGGATGTGGCCCATGGTAACTGCTCCAAAAATGGTGACTATTATTATTAAAACTATTTCTCCAGCTGGGTCTGGGATGGGGCTTAAGGAGGGATCTATCTTCAAGAACTTCTGCCCAAACCTAAAGAGAAAGAAAAAGCTTCCTTGGCCTATATCTCTGTCCTTATAATAGAGCTGTGTGCAAATGCAAACGGGTTCTAAGGCTCTTTTGGTACTCTCTCCTATTTTATGCTTTTGGACCTGTCCTTATATAGTCCTACTAAAAAGTTAGAAATTCATGTGGGTTCATAATAAGTCTGTCAGTCTTTAAGCAGTCATGTGAAATCTTAAGGACAAAAAGCATTTTAAACATTACCTCTCCTGCCCTGGCTGGTGTGGCTTGCTTGGAGAGTCATCCTGGTCAGGGCACATACCTAAGTTTCAGGTTCGATCCCAATCCCCAGTCAGGAGGCAACCAATTTCCCTTCCTCCCTCCCCCCTCCCCCTGTCTCTCCCTTTCTCTTTCCCTCTCCCTTTTTCTCTCTAAAAATCAATGGAAATGTCTTCAGGTAAAGATTTAAAAAAACAAATATTACGTCTCCTTATGATACCTGATATTGGCATATACAATCCAGTTAAATTACTTCTTCAGAGCCATATATAGAAGCAGTTGCCTACATGGTTTGATTTTGAAAACGACAAAAGGTTCACTGTTCTCAAATATGTCTTCTCACTATTAATGATGCCAACAGTTATTACATCACCTCTAACTTTTTTATTCTACAATTAGGAATATGGCTTAAAAGTACAGATAATGGCCCGGTCGGGCGTGGCTCAGTGGTTGAGCATAAACCTAGCATCCAGGAGATCTCAGTTTGATTCCTGGTCAGGGCACATACCCAGGTTTCTGGCTCAATCCCAAGTCGAGGGCATGCAGGAGGCAGCCGATCAATGACGACTCTCTCATCATTGATATTTTTATCTCTCGCTCTCCCTTCCTCTCTCTGAAATCAATAAAAATAAATTTTTTTAAAAAGTACAGATAATGCGCAATGGAATATTATGCCACAATAAAAAAGAATGAAATCTTGCCATTTGCAACAGCATGGATGGACCAGAGGGTATTATGCTAAGTGAAATAAGGCAGACAGAGGAAAACAAATACTGTGTGGTTTCACTTATGTGTGGACTCTATAAAAATAAAAAACAAAAAAACAAAAACAGATTCATAGAAACAGAGACCAAAGGGATGGTTACCCTAAGGAAGAAGGTGATGGATTGGGTGAAAAGGTGAAGGGGAATATAGTCCATAATATTGTGACAAGTTTACACAGGGAAGATGATTACTAGAACCAGTGTGGTGTTCATACTGTATACCTGAAACTACTATAACTAATATGATATTGTATACCAACTATACTTAAATTTCATTAATAAAATAAGCAATGAATATGAAAATAAATAAATATAAATAACCCTGGTAAAAATCCATTGAATTTATTAAATTTGTTCTTGGTAATCAATTCAGTGTATCTTTAAAACGACGTTTAGTTTATGTAAGCCCTCCTCTCCTCCCACAGACAAATATGTTTAATTTCTTAATGAGTAGAGGGTATGGATGAAAACATGCTTTAACTTCGCCTGTGTGTGGTTGGGAGGTGGAGTTGGGGCTAAAGAGAGCTAGAAGAATATAGGTAAAGTATAGGGGAAAGCCTGAAAGTCCTGCGGGTCTAGAATGGGGAAGGGTGTTTGGAGGGGAGTATTCAGAAGGGAGACTGAGAAAGCTAAGCTCTCCTTTACCGGATTCTCTTTTCATTGCTGAATTGTAGTTCTTTATTCGAAGTTTTTATTTGCACCTTGTATTCCTAGACATGTTGACAGCATATTTAAGCTCCTGAAATGTCCCCTGCCTTTCCAATGGGTCTTAGAAATGCTTGGTAAACATTTCCACTATTCCCCTAAATGGCAAATAGAGTTTTGCATTTCAGTACTTATGGCTTGGAACCTTCAGCAGTGTCTCCTAAGCTGATGGCCAGAGCTACTGAGTGTGACAGAGGGAGCCTGACTAATAAGGTTTCATTGGCTACTCACAAAAGCACAAGTTGCTGATGGTCACTTTACCCAGTGCCTGTTACAGTAAAGTATAGGCATTACCTAAGGTAATTTATTCATTTAAATTAATTTGGCATATTAGTATATTAAAATCTAAGTTAAGCTCCCAACATTTTGCCTTGTGTTAAAACACTTATTTGTGGTCGAAGCTCATTTGTAATTGTTGGTACTATAACTCTAAAAACGTTTTGTGAACCTTTGTTATGTACAGGGTGAAAGATTGAGCCATGCAGTAGGCTGTGCTTTTGCAGCTTGTTTAGAACGTAAGCAGAAGAGGGAGAAGGAATGTGGAGTGACTGCTACTTTTGATGCCAGCCGGACCACTTTTACAAGAGAAGGATCATTCCGTGTCACAACAGCTACTGAGCAAGCAGAAAGAGAGGAGATTATGAAGCAAATCCAAGATGCCAAGAAAGGTATAGTCTGTTCTACTGCAGTGTGTGTTTATTTAAGCAGTTTCCCCCAGAGGGTTAATATTTTGAAGCTATCAGGGCTAAGCTTTCTCACAAAGAGAACTCTTAGTGATATGTGAAGACCTTAAGAACAAAGCTGAAAATCTAAACAAAGTGACTGGTTTAGTGGCTTTGAAACTGTTTACCCTGTTTATTATGTTAAGCTGTCTGGGGAAGCTGAGAGTGCAGTTGAAAGCTGCAAAGGTATTACCCCTGTGTTTAAAAACACAGTTGGGAAAATCTTCCTGGAACAGATTTTTAATTCTGATGCATCTGATCTCTGAGAAGCAGATGCTATCAAGGACCTACATCTTAAAGGAAGACACATAAGTCTCACATCTAGGCTTCAGAGGACCCACTGATGTGATGCTGGGTGTAAGCACAGACAGAGATTTCACAGTGATGCTGTCCATCCTTTATTATTACTGGGTTTTAGTGCTCTAGTGAAAAAAAATCCATAGATTTTGAGAAGCTAGCCCCTAACTGTTTTTCCTCTAGTGCTGTTTAGTGTGTGATTTTTGCAGAATATGAGTTTTTTCAGGTACACATGACAGCACAGCGGAAATGCCTGTACAAGCATTCAAGCTACTCAGGAATCTGTTGCCTAAAGTTGGGTTGGGTGTATTTTCAAACTAAGTGATAAGGCTTGGGGAAATGCTTTGAATTCTTATGTATAGCTAAGGTTAAAACAGACATGGAATATTTTGGAATTAAACAGTTCAGTTTAAATATACAGTCACATAATTTTGCTAATTTTTTTACTTCATTCTTTCAGCTCTAAACCAGCCATTATGAGTAACTTCATTAACCTAATACTGACCTAAACAGCTCTAATTTTTTAAGACCAAAAAAAGATACATATTTTTATTTGAAACTAAATTGTTCATTGTGGTTTTTTTCATTTCTCATAAACATTTGCGCCAGGATACTAAAGAATAAA